TAACTTGTGCACTGTTCACTTTAAAATTTAATATAAAATCTCCTAATTAATTTTATGAACTGAAATTTTTTGAGAACACTTACCAGAAATCCTAGAAGTGCTTGCGCATGTGATATCTCTGGAAACATTCCCCTTTGTGAACAGGCATTACGCAGAATTTGCACATTTAGGCAGTTCTACTCTTTTCTTGTGCTCTGCGCACACACGGCACTGCCTAGAAGGGTGTTTCTTCTAGCAATATTCACTCTTCACAATTTTCACGAGAATATGTTTCCGCCTATCACCCGAGAGTCGGCCAGGGAGGTCTACTGGAGGCCTCTGGCGGGTGTCAACAGATGCCCCCGCTGCACTACGTCTGTGTCTGACACAGGTACTGCCACCACCATGACGTCAGTAGCCCAAGCTTTTGCCGGTTTCAACAGAAATGCTTTGTATTTCAAAGTAGAATTTCTGTTCACCTTTTTAAAAACCGTAAATGAATTGAAAATTGCATAGCTTATAAGCCACAGTGCAACTTTCTTCGTCCATTTTACTGTTTTCCTAGGTAGGGAATAATAGGCCAAGAACTTGTCGGCCCTATTAACTCCTTTCATGGACATATTATACTCGGAAATACAAAGACGCTTCTTTACTTGCCTGTGTCGTCTTTGAACATCGACCATGCTCGAATTGTGAATAGTGGAAACCATATTCACAACCTGAGTATCCCTCCAGGACTGAAGAAGAATGTCCTCCTTCCTCCTGAATGCGGTGCCGCCATGTTTCAGGCGTTTACATTCCTCTTTCAGATCTGGAGGGAGGCCTCTGTTCACCCTAATTGTACCACAAATACGTACTTTCCTTGAAAGTAGGTATTGCTGTCCCGACACTCGCACTTTCAACGGAGCTCTCACTTTCACTTGACACATTTTGGGCAGCCCTGTGGCCCCCGTCACTGTCACTGTCACTGATAATGGCCTCGCTATCAGAAGATGAAGCAGTTGGCAAATCTGATAGCTCATAGATAGAACATATCTAATATTTCCTGTCCTCCGAGAGATCGCAACTGCTTTTGTCTCTGAGCCATGTTGAACTGGTAGCTGCATGGTTGATACGTGCAAGCTTGGATTAGAACAAAGCCAATTTTGTTTAGGTTGTGACAGGAAATGACTCTGGTCGAGTTACTACATAAGGCAGCAATCATTCCTGAGGTCATCTACGCAGTAGTTACAATTCAAAGAAAACACACAGCGATATATAACGTTTTGCAACATAATGTGACCGTAGAGGGCCATATGGCCCGTCCGGTCCGCAATGTGTTAATAAAATAATTACATGTGATATAGAGAAAATGCAAGCAAAGTGCAAAGCACAATAGACTAAAAATTGCCCCTCCTGCTGTATAAAAATGTATATCAGAGGATATGACAACAACAGTAGAACAAATAAAGAAACAAGATATCCAAGAAAAATTTATCTCAGTAAAGCGTGTTCCTGTATATTAACTAGTAGACAGGACAAAGCAATGGATATCACACATAAGCAGAAATATAAAAATACAAACCGTGAATCTGTCCCAGTGGCTTTCCATGTCAAGAAGTCTGGTAAATCGAAGAAATAACCAGCTTTATCCCAGCACTGCTCCTTCAAATTCGTTTTTAGCCACATAAGTTTCGGTGTCTCCATTTCAAGTGAAATTTTACCACCAACATACTTCAGGACAGGATGCTTCAAGCCATTAATGAACTCTGCCTCGTCAACGGCACGATGATCCAGCCAGAGAATCACATTTTGCTCATTATTTCCTGACCAACATCAAAGGGATTAAGAACATTCATTATTTGGTGTCTTTATGCACAGCGAAAACAGAACAGAAAGAATGTAAACCCCTTACTTTCAATGGACTCTTCAGAACATGCTAAAACAGTATCATTACTCTCATCCTTCTCATAAAGTATTTTTCTTTATACATACCACACCCAACACAACATAAAATAAATTAAACATACTAAGTTAACATAACCGAACATCACCTATCACTGAATTTGTTGGAGAAATACAAAATTATGTCCAAGTGTAGAAAAAAAAATTGTACTACAACCACACATATTTGTCAGTAAACAGTGTGGCTCTGTCAAGATACTGTAGAAGGAAGAGGCATAACTAACAAACTGTTCTGGTAAGCATACTACTTATGCTGCAATGAGGGAGCCCACAAGTCCATCACTTGCCTACATCACTCTCAGCTACATCCTATGTTCAAGAGGGTATGGGGGATATAAAAAAAATCCTGACACTTTTGATGTTTTTACCTGTTGGGCTGATGGAGAGGGGATTTCCTTCTATATCCACAACAGCCAAGGAACAGGTAGCATCAAATCCAATACCTTTCACAGCACTGCTAGCCACATTTTTTGAAACATCCTTCAACAAAGAAACTACATCAGAAGAATGAAAATCTCAATGGTTTCTAGCCGTTTACACTACAATTCAAAATTCCTTATAACTGTTGATTATCATTCATACACTTACCTAACCTAACACTTTTGGTGTTGAAGTGCGTATATGCACGCGCTTATTTGTATCGTGACAATTAACCTGTCGGTAAAAATCTATGAAAAAAATTCTTTTTACCTTCACCACAGAACAAACAGCTCTCCATATATCATCTGTTGATTGTTCAAAGTAATCTACTTCGGGATTCCATGTTTTCGTATCTTTGGAAGACGTGCACAACAATTTACCGTTTCTTGTTACTAGAGCAGCCCTGACACTTCCAGTTCCCACGTCTACCCCAACAAAATAAGATTCCATTTCTCACGATTTCTTTATTCTTGCTGTACGTTAACACGTATCACAAAATTCGAAGCAAAACAAGTACTGCATAACCTTCACACCATATCTTATCACTGAATGACAAGGTCAAATTAACTATACATAAAACATTTTCTTCCATCCTCCAGGCACAATGCAAACACATTGAACTGACGTCTGCACGGTCTAACCCGCGTGACACTTTACTCAATCAGAAAGAGGTCACAAAGGCCAGAAACGTCAAAAACCTCGCATTAATTATGACCATGAACACCAAGCGCTTCGTAGTAACCGCAGACCACGTTTAACCACGGACTATTTATGCTTGGCTCATCCACGGATCAATACCTATTCCCGGAACTACAGAATCACGGATCACTAAAGCTTTGCAATAATTCAACAATACCACGGATTACTAACAACACCGCCGTCAAAGAAAAGTGCACTCACGGATCACAGACTAACTAGGAATACCTCTGATACCATTTCTAGGTAACAGCGCCTTCAAAGTGGTGCTCTCTCGGAATACTGATGCGGCGTACAATTACAGATACCTGATACCATTTGTAGTATGCTTATTGAAAGTTCTTTTGATCTATCAGATATTTTCAACATATTGTAGCAGGTAGACCCGTTACTATATAAAAATATAATGATTAATATAGAACGTAATAATTTTACACGTTTTATATGAAAAGGATGTGACGAACTTGTCATTTTAAACGCAGCGATGAGATGGATTATATACTGTCGAACTGAAAAACGAACTGGAAAGGACTTGAACGAAGGAGTGGTAACCCAATAATTGTACCACCTTACCATTTTCGGGTGGGGGACGTTTGATAAAGTACGATAACCTACCAGGACAGGTGTCTAGGCAGAGTACATCCTGAATTAAGATTCTATGGAGTACATAATGTTATATTTCAGCATCCTGTTGCACTGCACAATCAGATAAAGTCACATTTCATCAAAATCAATTAGTTTGCCAGTGGTGCACCTTGTTGCCTGCCCCTTTTCATATTTATATAGATATCATGGTGAAAGAATGGAAAACATTAGCACCAAAATGGGTAAAAGTGTAAAGAAATTTATATGACAGCATGGTATCTACAGATGATCAAGTAACATTAATAACAACAGAAAATAATCTACAAAAAAGTATATATGAGTATACCAAATAATACTGTAGTAAGATATCACTTTTAAGATTTCAGCTGAAAAACAAAAATACTAGACTTCTGAGAGACATACATTTTCATACTACTGCGGATTGTTAACTGCTAAGAGGTGAGGTGGTACATGCAAGTAATACCATGTGTGGTGAACGTATGCACAGATATTGGTTATAAGGGGGCCTAGTCACAGGAGCAACCATCTATAGTTGCTTCTCTGGCAGCAGCGTCAGTGACATTCCCGGGGATACCAGCATGCCCTAGCACCCAACAGAAGAAAGCACAGCAGCCTTTCTTGTGTAGGTGAGATAACTGGTGTAGTATTTGAGATGTGACTAGGTGATCAGGTATTGGCATAAGTACTCTATTTATGGCACTACGTGAATATAAGCATATCAAAATGTGTCAAGGTTTGATGACATAAAGAGGGGTTCAAGTATCCTGTGTAGACACTGGAGAGATTATATAAGGACAGTGTGAAAATAATGTCAGAAACAAATGTGCTATCAGCTGATCCATTAATGTTGATAATATGGTAATCATGATACACAGAGATCATCTCTGAAAAGTAATGTAATGTCTCTATTTAGCAAGATGCAGATCACAATTAAGTTGAACAAGAAGCCACAAACACAATGCTGTCTTCCACGGCAGTCAGCGTGTTAAGGTACTATTCTAGCATTTAGTGGACGAAATGGGAAATCTGTTATAAAAATTTCAACCTGAAACCTCTCAAATATGACAAGTGTTAACAACTACAGGCAACATCTGGTGCTTGCTACCATTATGAGTATGTTGCAATGGAATGTTGGGTTGATTAATAATAACTTAAGAGTTTCAAATTTCATAATTTATTAAATAATGTTTACAACTCCTTTGATGATCTTCATCTCACAGTATACACAGTGACGTTTACTGCCGTTTAAGTTATTTTTCCACAACTTAGCTTACTGGATCCGAGGCTTTCCAGTGAAGACAGGTGTGTCACCTGCAAATGCTATGTTCTTATGACAGTCTGATGCTGGTTATTCCAGCAAGCAAAGATTTAACATGAAACAAACTGGAGGCCAACAACAACCATGCAGATAATAAAAGAGAAACATTAGATATGAATTACATCATCACAATCTTTTGTTCTAGTTTACATGGCAATTTGGTAAACAAGTTATCAAACCCAGTCAACATCAAGAGCTTTTGGAAAATGTAAACATAACATATTATAGCTTAAAATGTGAATGTGTTCCAATGTTACTCGTTCAGTTAACTGACATTCTATGATGGGTGAGTTCAGCCACATGGTCAGGTTACATTCAGTCACTATGGCTATGAAATGTCACTAGATGAAAGTCATAACAGTTTACTTATTTGACAACTAATGTCACTTGAGTACAATTCTGGCAAAGCTTCAGAATTTCTATCATTTGTTATATACTGGTCATTTAACTATTACCCTTGTCCCAAGTGAAGCAAATATTCTGCCAATGGGTTAATGCCACATCAGCAGTATCCTGTACTAAAGAAAACATGCACATCTGTGCACTCCACATAATTCAACTGAAGAAGATAATTAATAATGCCAAAACATTAAAAACTGGAGCTATTTTAAGGTAAACTAGTTTTCAATAACTTGTCTAACATATAGCTTTACATATTTTTATTTATCTGGACATCACAAGCAGTTTAGCCATGTTATGATTAACAGTTTATCTGCTGGGATTCAATGCATTTTAAAAGATACGATTTACAACTCTTGCAACTGTGAAAGGTTAATTATACCATTGGTTACATGATTCCACAGCGATGAAACGAAACAAACTTAGTGGTAGCAACTGCTGCCTAAGGATCATCATGTCAGAACTGCTACTTGATGGATGGAAATTAACAACAAATTATCAATCTACATTTTTAAAAGCATTTTTTGTAATTTTTCCTTTAGTCTGTGAGTAGTTTAAGTGATTTTTTTATTGACTTTAAAATATACCTGAATCAAACAGAAGATTTTGCATAATCAATACAGAATATTGATACTGGAAGCAAAAGACGTAAACAGGAAAAGGAACTTGCCTAAGTATGCAAACTGAATATGTATATAAACCATAATGCTATAAACTTGGATGTTCCTTCAGTATAATTAATGAACTTGGGAGAATCAAACAAACTTGAGCAGATTACAATAGAACAGAAAATATAAACTGACCATAATGAAGATATTCATAAGAAGTCTTATGTGGAAGATCATTTACCCGAACATGCCATGCTGGTTGTGAACAACACCTTCTGTTTCTGTTTCTTCTTTTTCTTGCCCGAGCTTGAGCCATTTTCGCCTGAAACAAAATTCTCATGAAACCTTATGGTAAAATGGTTTCCTTGAAAAGCTGACATTACACACAGCCTGTCAAGGAACTCCTTGCTTTCATGCAACCTGAAGATTTATTACCAAGTTCATAAACCCTTCTACTGGACCCATGATAAGCCAGCTCAATCCAGCACACACTCCAACTCAGATCCATTTTCATCTTAATGTTCTATGCCTAGGTCTCCCAAGCAGTTCCTCCCATACTAAATTCTGATCACAATACATTTCAATTTCCCATTTTCCTTAGCCACGATACATGTTCCAACCAGTTACCATCCTCCCACCCAATATATTAACTAGGTGATATGGATAAAAAGTAAAGATATGCCTGTAACAGGCCATGGGGGCCCACAGGGTTGTATGATGTTGAGGTTTCCACATTTTATAGACAATCCGCTCATGGATGGCGGCAAGGTTGTCAGCCCTATGTGCCAGCTGCCCTTTACCCCCCAAGAATATTCCTGGTACTCATTTCTGTTAGAGGCTGACTCGACCCCAGGGCCATAGTGCAACTGGAAGGAATAGGCCAATTGAAAAAAAATCCAATGACCTCATTGGGACTTGAACCCACGACCTTCCAGCTTGTAGCATAGTGCCTCAACCAACTACACTATTGTGTGCCCCTTAGGTGATATGGGTAACAGTGTTATTGTCTGTAACAGGTATCCCCTTCATCTGAGACACATTTTATCCCATCAGAATCATTCTTTCAACATAATCTTTCCAATTTCTTATATAGTGCTGTATAAAGTTTCTTCTTAGTGAAATACTTAACTTAGCTCACGGCTCCAGAAGCACAGGTTAAATGTGTTACCTACTTAAAATTCACGGATCAACAGTTGCAATGGATGCTTCATAAAACTATCTTTATACATAATATTTAATAACTCAAAGTTATACAGCATGAACTTCTGAATGGATTTTTATAAAATTTAAAACTGGGGAGTTTTACTAATATCTGCTGATACACTTACAGTTTTATTGAACTCTAACAATAAGAACACACATTTTTCCTGAAAGATCTGCATGAATCATGTGCTCAATTACCTAAATATCTAAGGAGTGAATAACATTTCAAACAAAAGTTGTAGAGAAAACTGGAACACATTTTATGCGGAACACAGCCTTTCTCTGAGTCTTACAGCCTTCAACATGATTAAACAAAAGAAAGCAAATGTGCTATAATTGTCAAACTACGGACATACATTTCATGGTTTAATGTGTTTCCACCACCCTACACTATACATTTAAACAGAGCTCTAAATACAGGGTGTCCCAGGAGGAATGTGCCAAACTTCGGGAGGGTGTTCCTTATGTTAAAGTATGCCGATATAACCCAAAACACCTATGTCCAAAGTTGAACGGTTACGGAGATAATGGCCCGAGAAGTGTCAAACTTTGACCGGGGTTACACACTTGTTGATTACAAAATACATATTAAAACTGGCAGGAATATGTGGATTCTGTAATGTTAATAATGTACGTAACATCAAACCAACTTGTGAGTGACGGAAAGCCATAAAATTGAAGTACAAAATACTCGCTCGCCATGTCATAATTGTCCTTAGGTTTCCAAGCAGTATACATAACACATGACTGGCGAGCGATGACGTAACGTGCTGACTGCGCGTTCTGGTATGAGCCAACTACATAAGCACGGCTAGGGAGTATCATCGCACTCAAGGACAAACATAGATAAGGGCTCTCAGCTGAGAGGTACAGCGAGGTACAGTGCTTGGACCTGCCAGAAGACCACACTTTTCTTGGGCCATTATCTCCGTAACCGTTCAACTTTGGACACAGGTGTTTTGGGTTATATCGGCATACTTTGACATAAGGAACACCCTCCCGAAGTTTGGCACATTCCTCCTGGGACACCCTGTATATTCACAAATGACCTGTGTTGTTTGCTGTAATTAGCTGATGGCAAGTGACATGCATGCACCACTCTATTACCCTTCATTTCTTTCAACCAAAATTGTGAAATCTGCTGCTCCTTTTGTGATAAACCCTTCATCAAATGCCAGAACACAAAGCCTGACCACAGCAGTAACCCCACTACTGCACTTGCCACTTACTAGCTAGCTAGCAAACACATGATGCTTTCATGGTGCGACCAGAAATGGACTGAAATACGAGTATAACTGTACACCAACACAAAATTTATCCCCAATTCCACAAATTGCTAAAACCAGCAAAGCAGAGTTGATAACTTACCTTTGGGTGTTTCTTTGTTAGCAACTGCTTTCTCTAGTGCAAGAGCAATGGCATCACTGAAGCTCTGGCTAAATGTGGGGGCAGGAACATAACCCTCTATTTCTGGTTCACTGTCAGAGTTGTGGCATCTTCCTGCAGCTGGTTTGTTCTTACTTGTTTTTGGCACAGCAGCTGGCAACTCTACACAGCTTTTACTCTTACCCTCTCGCAGCATCTGACAAACACGAGTAATCACTGATATGTCGTAATGGTAAATTTAATTCTCATACCTCATCAGACATGTAGAAAAGATCTTCTGGGCCTTTATTTAGAACATGGGCACCCATACAAAACCAGTTTTTCTATTTTACCACATAAGGCTGTAATGCAGTTTTATGTTTCTTCTATAAAATGATAAAGGCAGTTCACAGATTGCTTATTTGTATAATGTTTCACATCTTCCAATCATGTAAATAATTATAATGAAATCAATAGTGACAACATTATTAGCAGCAATGTTAAGTCCTGTAAAACCAGCTAGCCAAACCACCAAAACCACTACCAGTGTTGCTGGTGTTGATATACCTGGAAACCTGATATGTGTTGTCTTGTTTTGTATTTTGTTTGTATATGTAAATGCATGTACATAAATAAACAATTTCATCATCACCACTTTGCTGCTGTTGTTATTATTATTATTATGTGAAGGAGTATAATGCCTTGGGCCTCAAAGTGTAAATTACACACCATGCCATTAAGGCATATGGAGAAGTGAAGGTACAGCTCCACACATCCTTAATCTCAATCAACTGCATAGGTATATCTTGCACTCATATACTTGCACCTATATATCATTAAGTTCTCTAAACTGATTTTGCATCACTTTCAGTTTCTTCTCGTGCAAATTACTACCAAATTTTTCTTTTGTGCAGTGGCCACATTATTTCCTTTAAAAAAAATTATGATTTTCACTTCATACTTGTAACACAATGGTCAATGCTCACAGATGCTTTCAGGATGAGTAGCTATGTGAGGGAGCCTTTCCACCGCACAATTCGTGTTTGTAACTTTTTCTCAAAAACAGCTTGCAGCTCCTAAATGAATCCCTCCGTACAAATGTATGCACAACAAAATTGTGCATTCACAGCTGATGTGGTTAGTGAACACTAGAACCATCAAAGTACATGAAAAGACTTCACTGCTCGCACTCAAGTACATACCTGCGCAAATGACACCCCTGGTAGTTCAGATGATCCAGTTGTTGGAAGGACACAACTTTCTTCTCTGTTCATTTGCGGCTCCAGGTTTGGGTTCTCAGCTGCCACTGTCATAGATGAAATGCTGTCCTGAGAAGGAGTGGGGCTGCTTGCTATGCTTGACTGAACAGGGGAGAGAGAGTGGCTCGTTCTAAAAGTGGAGATGGATGCAAACCGTCAGCCAGTAAAAGTAATGACAGAAACAGACATACACAGAACCCAGAATTTGTAACAAAATTACACCACAGTGCAACACATTTTCAACAGCAAAGAAGTGATAACAGAGGCAGAAACAACTAGAAATGTTGTAGGTCATTCTTGTATGAATGACAGAGAAGTTCAACATTTATGTGTTTTAGTGAACATGTCTTTCAAGAATCATTTGAAGCAAGTGTATTCCACATGGCTCTTGGCATGTGAACATGTTCTAACACTACTACAACCATGGCAATGATTGCACCAGAAATGATGGTCAAAGGATTCAGAAAGTGCTGTATATCTAATTAAGTTGACTGGAAGGAAAATAAGGAAGAAGCCCGGAAAATTGGCAATGAATATGACAGTGGGAGCAGTAAATGAAAGACAGAAGATGGAGAATTACGAAGACAATGAAGTAAAGGCAGATGATAGGAATGGTAAACTACGGCATGATAGGTGAAGCTGAATTAAGGTAAACTACTTGTAATGGGATAACTCAGTCCTTTGAGACCAAGAGAGGACTCAGCCCTAGAGGTTATAAGAGAGACCAGACTGGATATAGGAGGTACCATACTCCATAAATCCCTATAGATTTTAGCATATGCTGATAATGTTATGCTAGATATGAAAGAACAGTAAAAGAAACATACATAAAGTTCAAGCAAGCAGCATAACAAATGGGGTTAACCATTACTCAAGAGAAAAATAAATTTGCGGAAGTTAGCAATAATAAAACTAATGAGAAGCATATTACAATAAATAAATAAATACAGAAAAAGTAAATTAATTTCAATATCTTGGGTTCACAGTCACCTGTAACAACAATATTAATGTGTGAAATAAAGGCTATTCTGGGTAGCAGAATTTACTAAGATAAAAATTTCTAACGAAAGATATTAAACGTAAAATACATAAAACCCTTCTAAAACCGATTGTACTTTAAGGAGCTGGACACTCACTAAAGTAAATGAACAAACTGAAAATCTTTTAAAGAAAAATACTAAGGAAGCTCCATGGTCCAAGCTATGTAAATGGAGTATGGAGAGTAAAATATAATTATATAAATTATTCAAAAAACCAAATACAGTGAGGTAAGGTAAAGTTGTCCCTGTCCATAACGAATTCAGCACTATGCCATGAAGGCATATGGGGAAGTGGATGTATAGATCCACTTTTCTTGACCTTGGATGGATGAACTGGAATTAGAGCTTGCTGTATGGTTCAATCAATCACTCTTCCGAGCAATGATTCTAAAGATGGCATCTTCCTGAAGGAGAAGGCCCTGCACATCTCTGCTCTTCTAGGAATGGATAACTTTTCTGCTTCTAATGGTTACAATTCCACCTTTCTTAATCTTACACCATTTTCATTTCCCCAATTTTACACTTTCCTTGACTTTACATTTACTTTAGATGGCCCCATCAAAAGTGTAAATCAAGGTTTTACATCATGCACTAATTACACAAGAGGAAAATAACAGGATCTGAACACTGTCAGGCCTAAAAGAATCACTTTCAGCTACTCTGGGAAAGGAAGGCATACAAAAGTATCAGAAAACGCAAAACAGTGTCATTATCACTGCTATTGAATACTTACACAACAGAATCACAATCAGCGCCACACTGTGGGAATTGGTGACGTGATTCAATGCGTATATGAGGTGCAGGATAACGACCCCAACGCCGGTTTTCTTCCTCAATAATTTTCTTTTCTCTGCGCCTTTCATCTCGAGCACGACGCTGACGCTGTTGTTTTCGCGCTTCAAGTTGGTCTGGGAAGGAAATGATCCACCAATTCTTACATTGCTAAGATGAATTAATGTGGAAGTAAATATGCATGCTTTGCCAGCGTCAATAAGACCGATGCTTAACATATCAGTTATTTTATACCATCACAGCTACCTGCCACTTGATGGCATGGGGGGGGGGTAACTATCTGCCACAGCAGAAAATATGTTACATTCCTGAGCAATCAAAATCCAAGAAATATAACAGGAACAGCAGCAGCAACAAACAAAAACAAGAAAACTTGCAAGGCAATTTTTATGTATTTGTTATCTTTGGAATGTGGCACTGAAAGGGTAAACTGATGAAGGCAAATTAAGCATAAATATGAATACACTAAGCCTCAAGGCACATACAAATTCAAATTTATGAAATCACGTGAAAGACCAACAATATTATATAGCAGCAAAACACACACCATAAGAAAGACTAATCAGAAAAACTAAAACATTTCTTCTTATCCATCTCCATCGTAAACATAGTCAGAAAACTGTTGAATGTTAACATCTGCCGCACAATGACTAAAATATCTTCACCACAGATCTGTCTTTTTAATCATACAAGAATAAAAACTAGAACTGTCTAAATTTATAGCTCCGTTTCAAGGAAGATGCAAATGGTAAAGGATGATCAAAATGTGATGCTAATTAACAAAAGTCAAAAGTACAGGTATCCTTGTACCTGGCCGTGAAGGCCCATAGGGTTGTGAGCTGTTGAGGGTCCCACACTATCTAGACAATCTGCTCAAAGATGGCGGTAAAGTTGTCAGTCTTATGTGCTGGCCAAGCTTCACTCCTCAGGAAAATTATTTTTCCTGGTACTCATTTCTGTTAGAGGCTGAGTAAACCCCAGGGCCCAATGCAGCTGGAAGGATTAGGTCAATTGAAAAAAAATCCAATGACCTCATCAGGACTTGAACCCACGACCTTCAAGCTTGTAGCATAGCCCCTCAACCAACTACACTACTGCATGCCCCTGATACTAATTAATGTTGCACATATATATTGTTTTAAAAAGAACAACAAAGGACAGAAATATTTTGACACAACATGGGCAAACCTACATCTGAACCAAACAATGTTACGGTACCATATGTAGATATGACCATAACTTCTCATATTTTTGGCATTTCCCAATGAATTCAGTAGCAACTGCATGAACTGTTGTGTAAAAATTAAATACCATAATTTTACCCCTGATTTTCATAAAAAATACGAGTAAAGTTATATGCATTTGATTTGTTTCATTCTGGTCTGTCATACTAACAATATCATGAAAAGTTATATGCCTTATGGCAACACATTATGGGGAATTACAGAGTGAAATTTTATCAATGACTATTTTTGTTTGTGTTAACCAACAAATTATACTGTTGAATAGCCATACTGTGTTGCAAAATCACATTTAACTTTAATCACTATTTCCATAAAAATTACATGTCAATCACAATTTTATGAAGGGAAATTTTCAGCTCACTTCATCAAGGAGTCATATGTTGGATTATGCATCTATTTCCATAAAAATTACATGTCAATCACAATTTTATGAAGGGAAATTTTCAGCTCACTTCATCAAGGAGTCATATGTTGGATTATGCATCTATTTCCATAAAAATTACATGTCAATCACAATTTTATGAAGGGAAATTTTCAGCTCACTTCATCAAGGAGTCATATGTTGGATTATGCATTATGTCAGTTGAAATTTTATCAATGTGAATTTTGGTGTCAATGTTCATCAAGCAATCACAGAGTGGAGCCCATAGGCATGAGAATCTATGCCGTCTTCCATATTGCATTCAACGTTAATCACATTTTATAAGAAAATTATGTGTCAAACAAAATTTGTTCCAGGAACAATTCTGTCTCAGCGTTCAAGGAATCACAAGGCACAGAACACAAGCATAAATACCATGACACCAGATCTCATTCCACCATAAATATCTCAACCTAACAAACAAAATTATACTCTGAAGAGCAGTACTTGATCATTTTACACACAACTTGTATTCATCCTAAATTCAGTTTGGATAAACAATTTGTTTAATTTGAATATGTTTAAATAGTGGGATGTAGTTACTGACATTTGCCGTGGTATTGGAATTCCAAAAGTTGGCCCACAACACTCACCTTGGAAAAAGTCCAAAGTTTCTTTTGATACAACTGGAGGTTTCAGATGTATTTCAGCAACCTCAAACTGGCAAGTTATTGGAAGATGCTGGAGATAGCGTAACCTATGCCGCAATTCTTCTGTCATGGAGCCAGATTCCTTTTCAACAATGCGGCCTGTTAAAGTTGGAGGACAATGCTCCAGGGAACCATAGCAATGCTCTAACATGCGTACATTCAAAGCATGCAGATATATGTGCTGGCCATCCGCTGCTGCAAGATAAATTCGGAACTGATTAGCTATGCTATACAGAAATGCCCAATGTTCTAGCACTGGGGTATTTTTTTTTTCCTAGCTTACGTAATAGCATTTTCTCAACTGCACGTTATACATCATCAAATGCAACACTGAATAATTGGGAATGATTTGGAAGAAAGTGGCCAATGCCTAATTTAACCTTTAGGGGACGGGCCATTTAAATTCCGGTAGTGGCAGCGGGACGGAGTTAATTTAAATGCCCGCCACTGTAGAGTAATAAAAATTGTAATCATGTTACTCAAAATGCTGTGATTTCTACAATTTTTGTGATAAACGAAGGAAATAAACGCGACTTTTATCTAGAAAGTATATAGAATCAGATACTCTAATTTACAGGTTTTAGAATCTGTAAAAATTGTTACATTGATTCCAAAAAAAATTTCCCCCCCAGTTTGAGCGCCTGTTCACAAAAATGCATACAGCTTCTGCATAATATGTTTCTGCAGTATAAATGCATAGTGCTGACCCACTGTCTGTGTGGTTATCTGGCAATAGGAGTGTGTGTTTATGGTCTGCACATTCTCCAGTCACGTAGGCTCCTGTATACCCCAGTGTGTGCGAGTTCTTATCCTACATTGCCTTAAGAAACTCTCTTTGTTTATTCACGTATGTCGGACTATCCACACACAGAGGCAGTTCTTAGAATATCACCTCATATCACTTGCTTCCACGTCCCTTCAGAATAAACTGTAACGCATTCTGAATGGTGTGATTTACTAGCGGCCTCTGAATTTCGATTCCTATCAATGTGAAAAGGGGTCATGGTGCACAGTTGAAATTGCGATGTATTATAAGCGTTATGAATAGAGGACACCACTCAACATCACTGGCTTACTTCCTGCTAATACGAGACTAACAATGCGTGTGCGCGCTTCGCGTGGAAAACAGAGTTAATTACGGACAAAGTGCATGAATTGCGACATCAGACTCTGCATTCAGTGACATGCAACATTCAGTAAGATGATGCAGGAGGGAAGACAGTCTACTTACAAAGCTGGTGTCCAAAAATAATGTAAGTAGAACAAGAATTTCTATCTTAAAATTAGATTTTAAAACACTGTGCGCATGCGTGGACTGCGCATACCCATACGGTGTCTTTCGGCCACCTCAGCTTTACTTTAAAGGTCCCCATATGGTGTCCTTCAGCTCTTAAGGTTAAGGTGTTATCTCAGCTTCTTCCTATGAGGACTAAGGAAAACATAACAATTTTCATACATGATAGATAGGTCTCAAGTGTAAGATTGAGACCTGGTTTAAAGATTAAAACCCTAACTCAAGGTTTCTGCAACACATTCACACATTCTGTTACTTTTGTGATCCCATATAAATAATGTATAACTTTCACCAATTGTGTTCTACCCTCATTCGATGAACAAAAATCCAAGTCCTACATAAAATTTGTATTTCAGTTTAGTATCATGTTTACCTGACGGGAAGACTAGGTTTCTCCCACCCCTTATTTTCAGAGTTAAATAATGAAGGATTACTTTCAGTTTTAGTGTGAAAAATATATTGATTATATTTAAACACTTGAAGCTTCTGACAGGCTGATGTTTCAAGATGCAGTAAATGCTAACACTCACAACATATCGTACTGCAGACACAGTGAGAAACAAATATATTTCAAGGTCAGGAACCATGACCTATGGTGAATTTACCTGAAGAACCATGAAATTAGGCATATCAAACAGTACTTGCACTGTCTGACTTATGTAACAATACAGTGCCCATTTCTTGTTAGATTAAAGCAAATATATGAAATTAACAATACAGCATTATTTCCTGTTTCAATTCTACATAACCCCCATTTCAGATTTTTTCAGTTTAAGGTAGAGAAATCTTGTTCCCTAAGCAACCTTAAGCGTGGAATTTACAGTAACATTTATAGCCATCACGGTAGTAACAGGTAACAAGCAGTGTTGTGAAGAGTGCGAGAGAACTCGAAACTATGCTACTAACTTTTTCCTTTCAGCTGCCATATTGTTTAAAATGTGCAGAAGATAAACACATAAATAAAATAAAGTAAAATAGCTCTATTAAAGGAAGTTCATTCTATGAACACAGGAAAAATTAAGTACATGTTCATGCCACAAAAGGTTAATTAATGCCGTCCAGTGAGACGGTATTATTATTATTATTATTTATTTTATTTTTCTTTATTTCTTTATTATTATTCTTTTTAATCTTTTATCCTTTACATGTGTTGGTCCTACAGACTGTCTTCAGAAGGATACCAATACAATTAAAACCACTATGTTCATGTCTCTTTACCAGGATAAAATAACAACACAAAGAATGAATGTAATGAATTCCTTGGAAGTGTGGCAAAGTTCAAATATGTTCCTGAGAAATTTGGCCATATTCAAATATGTGGGAAAGACAGTAACAAATCAAAATCTCATTCCTTCAGAAATTACATGGTGAATTAAGTTTGGGGTATGCTTTCTGCTACTCATTTGAGACCTTCATTTTACCATCTACTATTTAAGAAGTATAATAATTAAAAATATGGAAAACTATTGTGGCTTTCTTTATGGGTTTGCTCCGAGGTTATATGACTCGACCGACTGAGTTCAGTTCAATGACTGAACGCAGTGTAGTTGAGTGCTCAGGTGTGGAGTGTTAACCAGCAGGTAAAAGAAGCTGATGAATCTCCATTGCTAATATTCGTTACCATGAAATGTCTAGTGAAAACTGCAGAGGAATAGCCATTGCTGAGAGCTGTTACCAAGCAGACTGAGAAGACTCAGCATGGAGTGATTTGTATTGTGGAAATCAGCAGTAGTGATATAGTTATTTGTAGTTACAAGCTGTATGTGGTCAATAAATCTATTCACCAATACTAAACCTGTCTACAGTCACTAATACGTGTGATACTATTATTTTACCTGTCATACTGCATGGGAGTGAAACATGGTGCCTAACATTAAGGAAAAACACATATTACAAATGTCTGAGAACAGAATGTTGACAATATCTGGACCTTCATAATTTGATCCTCACCAGCAATACTGGGTGTTCACAACAAGGATAACGGGAGCATGACATACATGTATGTCCTAGGAGAAATACGTGCAAAATTTTTGTCAAAAATCCTGCAGGCAATAAACCACTAGAAAATCCGAGCACAGATGCGAGAACAATATTAAAATGTACATTAAAAAGTAGTGTGAAATGGATACATCTGGCTAAGGATAGGGTATAGTAGCAGGCTCTCAAGAATATTGGGTTCATAAAAGTCATGGAATTTCTTGGCCATGTGAGCAATTATTAACTCCTGAAGGACTCTTGCTCTGTTGAGATCATAAAGAGTAGAATACATGTTATGTTACATGACATCATTAACTGAATGGTGATTACTGTCTATATATAATGAAGTAGAATGATTCCTTACCTTGATAGAAGTAGAAATGTTTGAGTGGCGGTATTTCTGATTGACTGGTATTCGTCTGAAGTATGATGGGAACTTCCAAGTCTTCCACAGTAATGGCTGTGTTAATGTCTTCACTTCCCATCCCCTCACTGCTCACACTCTCATAGCGGTGTCTATCCCTATTTTCAGAAGACAATTTTAAGCCTGACTCACTACAACCTTCTTCATTCTGTTCCTGTGGCACTACTGATTGGTGCACGTCTGAAGGCAATGATGCCAGGTCAGGAGAATTATCCAATGCAAAGTACTCATTATCAAATGCTGAAAGATAAACTATGGCCTGTAACAAAACAAGATAAATAAATAAATAAATAAAAAAGCATCAGAACATTATAAATTAATGCATCAAGGCAATACAGTCACCTTGGGTTCTGACAACATAAAAGAACTGATGTGTTTAAAACCTCAAATTTGCACAGAATGGAAGCCCAGTGGAACCCAATTTAATGTTTCACAATTTGAGGTGTTCCCTCCTTTAATCTTCAACTTCAATTATCCCAAGTCATTAATTTCAAACTTCAATTTCTTTCATGTAATATTTTCCTGTTTCATGTTCAAATCTACTCCTCATTTCAACACTAAATGAGGGTTTCGATGTACCATCAATTGGACTATTAAATGACACTGAATTCCATATAGTGGAAATTCTTTTTTTTTTTTTTCCTTGGCACTACAGCCCCATTGGGTCTAGGCCTACCTCCATTAACTTTAGTTTTTCTAGATCTTACACATTCGGTAGGACTCCTTGGGCATGTGATCAGCTCATTGCAAGGCCTCTACCTGTACACAAACACAGAAAAACGCACACACACAAACTAAACATCCATGCCCTGAGTGGGATTCGAACCCACGATCCTGGTTTGCAAGCGAGCGAAGACAGTATATGCCTTAGATCACTCAGCTACTGTGACCGGCAGTGGAAATTCTTACAGAAACTGTGTTACTTATTACGATAAAATTTCTCAGAAAAATTCTGGCAAAGTCAATTTTTCTTCATACCGGCTTGTTTTAGGTACACAGATTTTTTTTCTGGTAAAACTTGTATCTGGTAATTGTTATTAAGTCCTTACTCCATCTAGGCATGGATCGCGAAATATTTTAATATTCCTGAATGTAATTGAATTATTAGTATCTGTGGCATGCTTGAGTAACAATATTCAAATCTGCTATCATGCCAAATCTGTAAAAATGAAGGAATGTGCATATCAAAGAGTCTCTTTTACTTCCATTCAGTCACCAGGCAAAATGGGATTAAGCATCATATAGTAACGGAAATATGATTACTGCTTCATAAATATACTGATGCTGATACTACACCCTCTGAGTTTGGAAATTCTGATATACATATACAGTAGAACTTGGTTATAATGTCATCAAAGGGACCTAAAAATAGTGTCGTTATAAACGAATGTTGTTGTAACCGAAACGGGCACTTCCACAGCAGCCTTATGTTAGTCACGTAAAAATCTACCAAAAACAGAGTTAAAATGTTGCATTTTTTTAGTGAAATACGTAGTTAAGTACAGACTAACGTAACATTAACGTGGAATTGCCCAAATGTGTAATATCAAAGACATATTACAGCGCTTTTCACTGACAATACACACAAATTTCACGAATCACTTTAACGTTTCTCTTCAATGCTTAAAACTTTCCTTTTCATTGCCATGTTTTCACTACTGCACTTCTCTGGGTTTAGGCAGGAACACTATAGGATAAGTAGACAATGTGAGGTCCTGTTAGACGAGATTCTAGGAAAGGAATGCAGTTAACAAGCTGCCGCGTCCTCTTGCACTATTCACGCAGTCCCACCCCACACCCTTGTTTTTGCATAAAACCCACGCTCCTCTTGCAGCCCGCGGTCGTATTCTTCCAGGACAGTCACATCTGCAAGTAGAGAAAGTGAGGGTGGGCAGACACATCGAACTTTCCCACGATATCAGAGAAATTCAGGAATGAAAATGACGTTACATACGAGGTTGATGCATTTGTGCATGTCGTACTAAGCAAGGTATAAAAACAGTTGCTTTATGAGGAATTAGTTCGTACCATTGAATATTTGACGCAATAGACAAGGTGTCGCAGAAACCGATGTTGCTATAACCAAGTTTTACTGTATTTCTAAACACAGCAACACCCAATTATTTGATATCCAAGGTTCTAGAATATTCAACCAACCACAAAAAATTTCAAAGACAATGCACCCATTATTCAAAACAAGATTTGAGACACATATTTTGTTCACCCACCAAGCAGTAATTCTCTCAGCCAACACTAGCAGCATTTCCTATCATCAGCAGAGGCCAGATGAATTTGTGACTGCATTACAGTATATGTATCCAAAATATTGTCACATGTTGGGTATATGTCATGCGACAAGTAACTTCACGCCTTATTTGATATAGTGAATTTATTGAACACTCACAATCACACAATTCATAATTCTCTAACTACTGACATCTGCGGTATCACACTTACTACTCCTGCTGGATTCACTGGCATTGAATCGATACAACCCGACTCGGTGACTGCTACAATTCAACTGACTGGTTAATCGTTACTCACTAGTAACCGGCTCAATCCCTCACTACTGAATAGTGTTCACTGCTCCTTATTTAGCCTTGGCACGGACAGCACAGAAAACAGTTACGTGATAGGTACCGCTGTTGAGTGATGCCGTGTTTACAGGTTGCCTAGCAACACTGTCGAGTGTTGTTTACTGCTGTGTAGTATCCCTTGTTACGTCACTGCGGCAATGGTTGCCTGACACAGTTGCTCCTCTTGTTACGTCACCGCGGGGGAGGGGGTGTTTACCGAGCATTACGCGCTGATGGAAGGCATGGGAGTACATGACGTCACTTGCGAGACTGCAGAGTTCACGTGACCCCTACTTCCCATTGGCGCCATCCATGTCACAATATTTCAATAATCAATCCACTATCACATAGGAAGCCTCCCATGCAAGAACTAAAGTGAAGACCTGCTGTTCTGACCTTGTACTGGGTTTCTGTAGGAAGTGTCCCATGCAAGTGGCACACCCCATCCCCATACATGCCAGATAACAGCAAGTCTACAGTGTATATTTTCCTAGAAAGTGTTGGTTCACAAACTTCTTTGAAAGTAAAACTAAAATACCTCATCTTAGAGTTGGATAAAATGGGAAGCTGGGCAGTGAAGATATTACAGAAAAAAGACAGGTAGTGTATTGTATAGGTCACCTACTATACTTAAGACAGTGAAATCTAGGAGGCTACAATAGGATGGACACATATCTAGAATAGAGGAGGAAGGATAACATCATGATTACTATCACAGAAGTAGGTTCTCAGGATGGAAAAACTTGGGGTTCAAATATACAAGTGATACTTATAAATACACCAAATTATTATACACACTGGTTTGCTTTCTGCTGAAATCATCTCAACATTCAATTCTGGCTGTTCACACCGAGCCTGTGAAGTTGCTACTTCACTAGAGAGGGCTGCATGTCTTTCACGAAGCAGGTCAATTGCTTGCTCAATAAAACATGTTTCAGGGCAGTCTTCTTCCTCAGACAACTGTTTCTGGAGTTCACTTCTCTCATAATCCACAATGGACATCACCTAAACATAAATCATTCATATTACACTCAGTAACTTGCAGAGGACTAAATTAAGAATCTGGTACACATACCTACAGTCTTGCCATGATATGACCCCCTCAGTGCTGTCTGCTTTGAAATGCAGTGATAAAAAACAATGTTTCCCAGGCGCACTGCGAAAGTCTGTTTTGTGAGTGAATCACCTGAAAATTATTTCCACAGGCAAGGCCAGGGATCTGTAAATCATGGTGTGACTGCAGCTATCACGGAGCTTCATACTATCAGATGTTATCTGTAATCTTCAAGCAAGCAGCTGTAGCCTACTGTAAGCTACTAGCCTAATGCATGCTTGGAGGTTTAACAGTTCCTCTTCTACCACTCACCGTTGGTCACCTCTTTTATGGTTGTCTCATTCGCGCTTACTAATTCTCTCAGGTTGTCTTATTTATAAGGAGGTGAGGTTCGTTGTATTTGGTAGAGCTGAGGATTTCTTTCTCATGGCCTATAGCAGGCCTCCAACTCCGAGGGGCAGGAATTAAGCTCAAAGCTCCACATGCACATATCAAGTTTATCTGTTTATTAAAGGTTTATGCCCTTTAACTTACTCAATTACTAATTTTACTTATAACTTTGCTTAATTTTTTAGTTTCTGTTTCTTTGAAGCACAACACTTTTGCTTCTAACGTTACTACTTTAGTTACAACTTGGTTACTAATGCTTATTAGTACAGACAATGAAATTTCGACTGACCGATACAGGTTTGCTTCTGAATTCTTCAAGAGTCGGTGTGTGACTGACCTTGACGACTGATTTCCTTCCAAACTGTGAGGTCCTTGGTCCATCAGCTTCTTGGCTCTGTCACAAACCTAATTTCTAGTGATTGGACGTTTTTGAAATTAGGGAGTTCACTTTATTTCCCTGATTTTCAATACGCTCACTGTGACTTTGGATTTTAGCCCTTAAAGACATAACGTAACTTTTGACAGGTCCTTGAGGAATACGCTTGGCTTCAGTCTCTGGTCCTCCTCCTCAAGAATAACGAGTTGCCGGAGCTGTCAAGTTTTGAATTCTCAAAGCCTGCCGCAGTTACACTTTCAAGCCAAAATTCCAAGAAAAACTCCACAGGGTTTCTTCTGGTTTTACTACAAGTTTGAGAATAAGCTAATTCTTACATGCAAGAATATGCCTATGTCTTACTGACTTGTTCATAACATCCCACTGTGAAACAATTAAATTTATAATTAATAAACTTAACTAAATTTAAATGGGTGCATGGCAGTGGTGCGGTTACAGAGGAACCAAGGAATAAAATAAAGAATCCCAGTTAGACAGCCTGGGTCTAAACAATGCATCTCTTAAATGCGAGTCAGGTGCATGGAAGAGTAATCACTACCAGCACTTCAGAATATTCACCTCTTGTGGTGTAGCCAGGAGAAGTTTGGAGTGAACTGTATCCACAACAGTTTCTGACACAGACAAGAGCTGGTCAATGGGACGGATACCACACTGCTCCACAGGCAGGGCGACAAGTGAACCTCGCTCCCGCTTCATCAAACGCATGGTGACTTCCTCCCCAGCTGAAAGCTGTATGTGGGGTATTGCAATCACACTGCACGAAAAAGTAAACACTTTAAAATCATTTAACACATCACAGCCCAGAAGGAATCAAGAGTGTTGACATAGTCCATACTTCTACAGACCTATAATAATGACCATCAAATATCATGACACTTTGAGTGCACAAAACACTATCTGATGGATAAGTGGGCATGTTGTCTAATGGTAAGAGAGCTCTTACATTTTGTGGTGGTATGCCCAGGTCCTCAATTTGATATTTCTACTTCTGGCATAAAATGTTCAAAGATCAATCATGAAAAATGCCCAGTGCAAAGCATGCTTTATGTAATTATATATGGCTGGTAGTCGTTCCATATAATCTTTCAGGACTCTTGGGTGATGTCACCTGCCAACAGTAATTGGCGATAACTGACGTAAACCATCAGTGTTTGCACAAAGTGGCACTGATATCTTCTTACTTATTTTTCTCTCAGGAGTTGACATTACATGCCTATAGGCTTGAGCATTTTCTGGAAGTGAATGCCAAAAGAAATGAGTCTCAACAACATTGTAGAATCGAGACTTCAAAAATTTTGTCACCTAATATTTTTGTCTAATTTCCTCTGTTGGGGCACTAGTAGCTTCTCTGCAAGTTCTCTTGTTCTTAATTCCATGTTGTTTACAAAATCGCAAAAGTCACCCAGCACACACTTGGAAATTGATTTTCATGTGATTTGCTAGTGTGTTTACTGCAAATTTCAACTCTACCCATCGTACACTGACACTCCAAGAATGTCGCTGCACATACCATTTCAACACAGCATCTTAAAGTGAAGATTCCTGTGCAATTTTCATGTTACCCTGGTTTATCTAGAGCATCCACAATACATATTATAACAAATTTGTTAAGTTATCTATTGCTTTGTAAATATTTAGCACACTCTGTTTCTTCATGCCTTATTCCTAACAAAAATGTGTGATGGATGCTCCCGATTATAATTTTTCAGTCAATTCTAATTTCTGTTTTACACACAAGTTTGTACTTCTTTTTGATCCATGGTGCATTAAAAAAATGTAACAAACCAAACATAGCACAACACGAATACAATTTGCAACAGAATGATCTATGTACTATATACACGAAGTACATATACATATCAACCATATTATTATGGGGAAGTACCAATATATCAGCCACAGATTGACAAGGAAGTAAAAAGTAAAGCTATCCCCGTAACAGGCCGTGAAGGCCCATAGGGTTGTGAGATGTTGAGGGTCCCACATTATCTAGACAATCGGCTCAAAGGTGGCAGTAAGGCTGTTGGCCTTACACGCTGGTTGCGCTTTACCTCCAGGAAAATTATTTAATTAATTCCTGGTACTCATTTCTGTTGGGGTACGCAGCAGCATAGTGGTTAAGGTACTATGCTACAAGCGGGAAGGTCGCGGGTTCAAGTCCCGATGAGGTCATTGGATTTTTTTCAATTGAACTAATCCTTCCGGCCACACTAGACCCTGGGGTTTACTCAGCCTCTAACAACCTTCATGGCCTGTTACAGCGATAGCTTTACTTTTACTTTACTCATTTCTGTTAGAGGCTGAGTCAACCCCAGAGCCAAAGTGCAGCTGGAAGGATTGGGTCAACTGAAAAAATCCAATGACCTCATCGGGACTTGAACCCGCGACCTTCCGGCTTGTAGCGTAGTGCCTCAACCAACTACACTACTGCATGCCCCACTGACAAGAAGTACCGAACAATTTTGTCCGTTAAATCAAGGTTTTACTGTTATGCGGGTGGGCGTATAGACAGATGTAGTTAACCTGTTCATTTGCATTAAATAAATAAGGAGTGCAGAACGTCATCTAAGATGTAACTTCAAATTTGAGATCAGTAAAGTTATCATGGACTGGTTGTGTGTACTGAATGAGAGACAAGATACACATACAAAAATTGAGAGAAGAATCCCCTTACAGATTAGTCACATGTAAACCATGGATACCGCAGGATATGACAGAATTGGTTCAGGACCATACCCAATGACAAATTTTGGTGTGAGCAGAGTTGAACCTTCAGATCTCATTACCAGATTTATTTATATGTACTTCATACTAGTGAACTGTATTAAATATGAATTCCCATACCTTCTGAGGTCATGTTTATGAACTGCCTCATAACAGATAGGACATTTTCGCCATGTTTTATCAGACAGAGCCAAGTAGTGTAGGATACAAGGCCAGCAGTACACGTGGCCGCAGCGTGTCATCTTTGCAGCAACTGGTGGATACAGGCAGATCGGACATGACGGCATTTCAGAACTCTGCAAACGCTGAGGCACAACAACAAAAGATAAACACAGACACAGCAAACATCAATCAAATGCATTTCCACACACATAAGAAGTTTATTTCCTTACAATCTGTTCAATGAAGTCCCAGTCAACCAAAGCATCAGGATTTGAAGCGTATGGTGTGTAATTACCACCAGCCTTCACCACAAACTGGCAACTGAAATATCAAAGAATTCAATAGACTTATTAGGATATTAACGTCACTTGTCATTGGCAAGGTGCACTGCTGGGTTCCAAAGGATAACCAGCAAGTTAAAAACAACTTCTTTGCTAACTTACCCCATAAAATTAATACTGTGTATCCAAAATAAAATATAAAAAATTCTGTGAAATAGAAATTCAGTGTTACATATGTCACGTGTAGGGTGGTATGCCTGATGAGGATGACGGGTTCTAGCTTGGATGACTGGATTTATTAGCATTTTGGTTACAATCTCTCTGTATCACATTTAAATACAGTGCTATCACTGATTTACACACACTGGTCCTCTCCTGGTAACACAATGACAACACAGGAACTAACACTTCACATCACTCCAAATATTATGCATGAATAAAGTCTTCTAATTGCATGTTAAATCTTCACAAGTCAACAAACTTTCGATGGCTGTGTCCTACCGAGAACTCAGAACTCAGGGCTCTGTCACTCACTGCTAGTCAAAGTCAGTCACATTTTGCCAGAAACTTCCCAGGGTCACAACTAAGCATAATAAATATCTGTTAACTTACTAATAAAGTCAGAAACCTGGGTCACTCATTGACAAGACTCTGTACCGAAGAGAAAGTGGGCAAAATAGGGGCTAGGCCAGAATATTTACCACTGAGAAACAATGGACAAAATACCGATATTTTAATATAACCAGCATAAAATTCTTAGACAATGGCCATCCAATGTAACTGTTGTTCATGAGTTGCTCCTATGTCAACTGGCCAGCAAGGTTTTAATACGTGCAGGTGGTTTCTGCAGTCAGATCATAACAGTGATGATGACCATAACACTGTTCTCTTACAAAGTCTGGTTTCATCTGCATGGACATGTTTCCAGAGAATCTGGCTTTAATTCATGAAGTGCATCCATACGACAGTGAATAAGGCATACTGAATGCTTTATGAATTACTGGGTCCACAGTCAATGCAAAAACAAATGATTCAAAGAGGTATATCAGCCTAATAGTATCAAAATTCTGTACACAGCTTAACAAGAGCAACAATCGTCTGCGTGGTTTCAGCAGGATTCAGCAGTTGACCACTCTGCAGACACTTCTGTGACAACTTTGGAAACAGTGACAGAATAATTCTGTGGTATGTGACCAACTCATTCACCTGGCATTTTCTAATGTGACTTGTGAAAAACTTGGGAAGACTGAAGGATAAATGTGCACTATGAAGTAGAATTCATGATGAATTTATGAAGATAAATTACTCACGAAGAATATCTTTACATCAACCTCAACCTGTTTAAATCATATACTGTGTATGAAAGTCCATGTATGGCATTTTCAATGTTTCATAAAAATTAGGTAAGATGCTTCTGTTGTTATGGAATGTGTCCAAACTCATAACAGGGTTAAATGGGAGTGCTCAGCCAAAGGAGGTATGTCAGTGGTTGACTGCTGGGAAGTGATAGAAGGCTTCAACATTGCAAGAAAAAACACACATTCATACAGCAATACAGTGCTACAGACTACAACAGCACTATTTGGGAATACCATAAATGGACAGAGCAAACAAACTACCACTGGGTGACTGAGGGCCAGCTGTAATGACCAAATGATGGAAGATAAAAGAGGGCACAAATGGCAGACACAGATGAAAGGGGAGCAACTTCAGGAAACAATGGAACGGAGAAGAATTTGTTGTAACACAATGTATTCTGGCAGAAATGTCAATGCATGACGATCCCTGCAATGCCTTGGAACTCACTTTGCTTGCAAGAACTGCTCCTTGTTGTATTTGTGTTTGTGGGTATATGTTAACCACCGAGCAGGATTATGGCGCCCCAATCCTGGTGGGGATGATCGCCAGTGGCCAAAACCAGGCATAACACCCTCTCTTGGTGCATAATGGAAGTTCAACAGATGGTTTAAGTTCTGTTTCTTGCTTCCTGGCACAGAAACTGAGCCACACTCATCTCCTACCTGCAAACATAAGACATTTCTTTTCAATGCAATTTCATTAATATAATGAGTATTAAAATCACTCCTGGAAAATGTGCGAAGGTGGCTGCGTCCCTTCCTTTCTTCTTCCGCTCCTCACACCTAACAGCTCCTCCTAACACTACCATTACCATCTATCCACACAATATGCCTGCTACAAAACTTGAAGCTGAGCTACGTTCTATCAGGAAATATTTTACACAACTTAAATAAAATCATCTACTGGTATGAATTCATTATGAACAATATTTGTGACAAATTCAATTTGTCCCTTAAATGTTAAGAAAGGAAGCATCAAAATAACAGTCATCAAAACATAAAAACAAAAGTAATAATCCTAGAAACATCTACAGCAATCTGGGCTAAGCTGAGGTAACAAAAGTTATCCCAAACATATGAGAGAATCACAGACACTGTAGCCATTTACAAAGTGACCTGCTTGCTCTGCTGGAGAAGTACACTTTAGGAACCCAAAGCATTAACCTTCAAGTGTCAATGTTACTTATTTTCCTTTACTTTATTTTTGGTATCTTTAATGCAGCTTTCAGCACCACACATTATATATGTAGACAACAGGACCACAGTGATTAATGAATTGGAAAGGACGTGGAAAGAATGGTAACAGTATAGTCTTAAGAAATTATCGTAGCATTTAATGGGAGAGACTAAGGAAAGCCAAGAAAAACCTCACTCAGAATAGGTAGTCTTTGGGTTGAGAAGATGAGAGTTTACTTGCAATTCATTCCCTCAAACATATACTGACTGACAATTTTCCTTAATGACACAAAATTCAGGAGATAAAGAAATACGACGGAAAAGAAACACTTGAACCCCAGCCATTTTTATGGGAAATTATAGTTCTATCAACACCACAGAATAGTGGCAACAACCAAAATATTTCCTACAAAATTATCAGGTCTGTTCATAGACCCCTAATTATTATAATTTATTAAACTAAGATATTTCCACCGTGAACATCATGGGGGGTTTTCGTAAAATATTCATCTAAAAGTCCCGCATTTTTCAAAGACCTATTTCCACATAAAACCTCACACCCTACACTGAATAGCAAGGGAGCTGTTCACAGGTTCTCACAGTTCCAATGCTGAAATTACTGATGTCAGTAAAAAAAAGGGGGGGCAATTACATCTATAATACTAGTAAACAAAACTGAAATGAAACTGACAACATATGCAGACTGGCAACAGGTTTCAATACACAATGCCAATAAATGGACTGCATGGGACACCTATATAAAGAAGTTTAACTGATGATTTCAACTGCTAGATCATATGGTGTGTTTTTTGCTTAAATCATCCCTTATACAATCAATTAACATTTCAATGGCAAAGTTCAGGAAAGACATCTCTCCATATCAAATGCCAGTAACACAGATAATGTTAATTTACGGATACAGAAGAAACTACACATCTTTCTCTTTTATACCAAAGCTGCATTCTTGGTGCAGCTTGTTTGAATATCCCACAAACTGATGAACCTCTCAGGTGGAAGAGATGAATGCTCATTCCATTAGGTTGGGCCTGTGAAGGCATGGACTGCCAATGAAAATGACAAGCCAAACAGACCGAATATCGACTGTTAACAGAAAGAACAAACCAAACAACCTGAACACATCAACAATTAAAATTATACAGGTTAGAGTAGGTGCTAGAAATTCTCTCTGCTACTCTGCATGCATTCCTGGCACCTCCTTTACACTTACAAATTGAAGTTCTTGAATAAAAAAAACACCACCAAACTTCCCTTCAGAATTTCAATTATTTTTTATCAAGTCAAGGAGGATGAGGTGGCCTGGGCATGTAGCACAAATGATGAAGAGGAATGCGTATAGGATATTGGTGGGAAAGCCAGAAGGAAAGAGACCACTGGGAAGACCAAGGAGTAAGTGGATGGACAATATTAAAATGGATCTCAGAGAGATAGGATGGGATAGTATGGATTGGATTGATCTGGCTCAGGATAGGGATCAGTGGAGGGCTCTTGTGAATATGGTAATGAACCTCTGGGTTCCATAAAATGCTGGGAAATTCTTGAGTCGCTGCAGAATTGGCTTTTCCTCAAGGAGGGCTCAGCTCCATAAGTAACTAACTAACTCCAATTATTTTAGAATTTGATATGTACATGTTCTGCTTATGGGTCCCCATAAGTAAGCTACAAGCATTAAGAGTAGGGAAGCATGGTGACTACAACCCACTGCTCATAATTCTGTCCCCGCAAAATTTCCCTCAAAGTGTGCATGGATTCAATCCACTGCTGCATGGAGCAGTATCAGAATCTTGTTGGATGGGTTCATATTAGTGTTTCTGTGCTATACACTATAAAAATGAAAGGAGTATCAGTTCTACCACTTTTCAGAATTAATTTGGTCACTGCAAAAAATGCCCCAATAATTCTGTATTCACATTACACCATACACTAATTTTAGAACTACGGAGATGAACCTCATGTATTAGCCTCCAACTATACGAACCCCAGAATCTGATGTTCTGTGAATTTACTTTGTCATGTCAAGGACACCAAGCCTTGCTGCAAGAGAAAATCATGTGAGCGAGGATTTCAAAATCACGAATTGGCTGAGAATCCAATTACAAAAATTGACTCCGTCAGCAGAATCACATGGCTGCAGTTCATGCACCACTGTTACCTTAGCAGGTTCAGCAATTTTGTGCTGATAATTTTGAAATTTTGGTCTCTTGCAAAGGGTCTTTATGAACTTTCTAAGATAAGTCTTCAAGGCTAACACTAATTTCATGAAGTTCTTTTAAAAGATTCTTCCAGAATCTCATGTTCTGTGAATTTACTTTGTCATGTCAGGAACACCAAGCTTTGCTGGAAGAGAAAATCATGTGAGCGAGGATTTCAAAATCACAAGCTGGCTGAAAATCCAGTTATAAAAATGGACTGTGTCAGCAGAATCAGGTGGCTGCAGGCATGCACTTCTGTTATTTTATCAGGATCAGCAGTTTTCTGCTGACAATTTTTAAACTTTGGTTTCTTGCAAAGGATCTTTATGAACTTTCTGAGACAAGCATTAAAGCCTAACACTAATATCATGCCTAATATTTCCTCAAAGTTCTTCCAAAGAGAGTGGGTTGCTCACTTATATTTTAACTTTCAGTGTACTTCACAAATGAAAGTCAGACAAATTTAAACTGGGTGAGTGTTGAACCCAAAGTCCTCAACTCATAACTCATTTGCTGAAGACTTCATCTAACACATCCACAGAACTGCTAACAGTTATGTACCACTGCAATATCTTGCATAAGATGCAACATAAATTTCATCACTCTACTGATTGAAGAACAGCGACCAAATCAGTCTCACACAATGATTGGAACTTACAGTTTTGTGGAAAAATATGGGCTGAATCATCCTATGCGTATCAATTGCATACCACAACCCACAGTGCCATCATGCAACGGCACTTCATGAACAGCATGAGATTTCATGTTCTCCAGTATGCATTATTTTTGCTGCTTATGTAACCACTTCAAGCAAGCTATGCCTTGTCAGAATAAAATATAAGTTATGGGTCAAGATGTACATCAAATACTGATTCCTGAAACCACATATAGATCCATCAAGATCTTTTACTGCCAACACAGTCCACATATCCTGAGTCCAGTAATATTAGACTGAATCAAGAAGGTATACAAAATGAAAACCACGCTCACTACTCCCACATTTTACTGCAGCCCTTCAAATGTTTATCCATTTTGAATATGTTTCTTACCTTGGTATTCTCCTTTCCACAGTTATAATACTGTCCCCTGGGCCGTGGTCTTTTATCAAAAGATTTGTTCTTTTGAGGAACTGGTTTTCTATTTGGGTCAAATTTCGTACCACTGGATCCATTTGGCTCCCGTCGCCGTACAGCACGGGCAAATGGTTTACTGCTGACAGCATCTAATAAACAGGATTAAATATTAGATTTCCATACTTGAACTATATTATTTTGTTTCACTTCACTAATTATGAGGTGTGGTAGCGTAATTGGTTGAGGCACTATGGTACAAGCTGAAAGGTTGCGAGTTCAAGTCCCAATGAGGTCACTGGATTTTTCAATTGACCTAAACCTTCTAGGTGCACTATGACCCTGGAGCCGACACAGCTTATAATAGGAATGGGTACCAGGAATCTTCCTGGGGGGTAAAGAGAGGCCGGCATGTAGGGCTGACAGCCTCACCGCCATCTGTCAGCCAATTATCTGGAAAATGTGGGAGTCTCGGTGTCTCACAACCCTACGGGGCTCCACAACATTTCACAGTGAGAGCTTCACCTTTTTTAAGGAGCCAGGGTAGTGTAGTCAGTACAGCGACTGGCTAAGGACTGGATGAAGGAGGGATCAGAGTTTGAGTCTTTGTAGGGTCAAGAATTTTGTCCTCTCCAAGTCATCCAGACTGGCTCTGGGGTCCACCCAACCTCTTATCTAATGGGTACCAGGGGCTCTTTCTCTGGGGTAAAGCGGCAGGGGAGTGAACCTGACCACTCACCTCCAGCTAGTGCCGAGATCAAGGAAATGTGGGTCTATACATCCACTCCCCCATATGCCTTCATGGCATTAATTCGTTGAGTAGAGGGACAACATTACCTTTCAAACATGACCAAGCAATAACAGGATGTCCATTTGCTGTGGAAGATATGCCAAGTGATAATACTTGGATTGGGCATGATTTAAGTGTGATGGCAGTTGTTTACAACCAATGGAGCTTAATCACCTTCATATTAATGCAGTCTATAACAAGAACTTCTGAGCAGAATTCATGACGGCTACTTTCCTGTTGCACAAGTGCATTAGTATTATTGTTACTTTATTTTACCTCTGTGAAGAACTTATTACTTGTCTGTGGTAAAACTGTAAGATATAACATAGATTTGGAATGCTGTATACAAATTCCTAACATTCATTCTGGCGGTAACAATGAAGCTCCATGCTTTATGCTCATCAGTCTATATTTCTGACAAACCGGAACTGCCATCAGCTTTTCACTGATCAAACAAATTATATGAGCATCACAACCTGTCACACCATTTGTCATATAATACTGCAAGAATTTTGCTTGCTGACCCTATAAAACATTCCCAATTGTAATATGAATCATACTGGACTTTTGTTGATAGATTTAATAGATTTCAAAGGTTTCTTAATAATGAAGAATTATACTGGACTTTTGTTGATAGATTTAATACATTTCAAAGGTTTCTTAATAATGAATTTCGATCTAGTTTGTGGATACTCTGTAGGCCTTATGAATTCTGGATTTGCAATAGATTCACCTAATTTTGTAGAGAACTATTTAACTGAAAAAAAAGGTCTATACAATAACAAGATGTTGCTGTCATTATTAAATATGACCAAAATATAGCCTCCTGACTCTAATGAACTCCAGATAACAGATATTAATCACTTCTAAGCACCACAACGCATATCGGTCTCACCAAGGTCAGCTATTTTCTCAATGTTATTCTTGCCACTGTTATGATTCCTACCTTGATTCTTCTTCAGCTCAGTGCCGTTTGCCTTGCCAGGGCCAGCTGAACGACCTGATGATTTCTTTTCCATTGTACAATCCTCTAACATCTACAGCAACACTAGTGGAGAAACGTTCTCCGCATGGAGATATAGCAATAATATTCAGGCCCGTCATTTTTTCAGCAAGCCATGATTAATTACTATAAATTAGAAAATAACTATTACCGGTGGTACAGAATCAATTCTCAATACACAATATTCTGAAAATAAACTGAAAAAAGCCCTCTTAGGAGCAGTGTACTCCTACTCGTCGAAAACGACGACTTTTAATACGACACACCACGATTACTGTCGCCGCGTATATGGCGACGGCCTACATTGCCTGGTTACGCAACTACAACCTGACAATCGCAGTTAGAACGAAAATTTATAAACACTTGTAAGTCGCATCAAATACTTCATAAATAGTACAGTGCGAATGTTACTTTTTTGTAAATATATAAATGTTCAAGACAATGTAATGCTGAAATCGGGTCATAATGACTAATGAAACACATATATCATTAATTAAAACCTTCGATCTGGTTCTACTACATCACCTTTTACTTTTGCCATGGCGGGATTTTAAATAGATTTGAAGCGTTCAAAAATCCGTGCTTATACTCCCACAAATCAATGTAATAACGATATTATGTGTTCTTTGACCGATGTGCATGGCGGAAAGCATTTGGGAACTGGTCCTATCAGCCGGTCTTCGTGTTTCCAACAGAGACCCACCGACGGGATTTTCAAGAAAGTTGATTGTGGCGAATTCTGAGCAGAAATGTCGAGCCACTGGATTTTTCACTTAAATCAGATAAGACTAACACCGATCTCGCTGTATATTTATCGGATAGAAAAGTATTTCGAACAAAAGGTTGTAGAAAACCAGGTGCATTTTTTTTTAATATAAATGTTCGAAGTAAGTTGTGCAGTCAGAGTTCGAATCCCAGTAGGGTCAAGAATTTTCCCTTCTCCATGTTCTCCCAGAAAGGCTATGGGGTCTATCCGACCTCCTATTATATATCAATACTAAAATGATTGCCAAATCCTTCAATAAATATTTTTTATCAATAGCGGAGACCATTACCAAAAGTACACTAAAAAATTGTGATATATTTGACATATGTAATATGGCTAATGAATATTTAACTGATATATTTGCAACCACTTTCCTTCTGATTAATTATAGTTACGTTACAACAAATGAAACTGAAAAAATTATAGACAAATTGAAAACGACCAATTCTACTGGATATGATGAGATCCCTATCAAAGTATTAAAAAGTTGTAAACATTTTATTACCTCATCCTTAACATACATAATAAATAGATGGTTAGCTACCAGTATATTTCCTGATAGGCTAAAATTCTCCGAGATAAAACCTATATATATAAATGGTGATAAAAGTCTTATCAATAATTACAGGCCTATATCCTTATTGACTTCCTTTTTGAAGATATTTGAGAGTGGTGTTTGTAAGACTTTGTCATTATTTGACTATCAACATTGTTTTAGCCAATGAACAGTTTGGATTTCGAATGACTCTTTCCACTGAAAAGGCCATTAATAGATTGCTTGACCTGATCTTAACTGCCCTAAATATTGGCCGTAATGTGGGTGGAATATTTTGTGATTTGAAAAAGGCCTTTGATTGTGTCAATAACAAGATTTTATTAGCTAAGTTGGAATTCTATGGTATTACAGGGGTCCAATGCATAAATGGATAGGCTCTTATCTTAAAGGAAGGTTTCAGAGAATTAAATTGCAAGGTAATGATAGTAACATAAATACCTATTCAAACTGGGGCTTAACATCCCATGGTGTCCCGCAGGGATCCATTTTGGGTCTCCTGTTATTCTTGATATATATTAATGATTTCCCTCTAGTATTAAATAGGATTTCCTATCCTATCCTCTTTGCTGATGATACTTACTTACTCATGGGGCTGAGCACTTCTGGAGGAGCCGCCAATTCTGCAGCTACTCAAGAATTTCCCAGCATTTTATGGAACCCAAAGTTTCATTTCCATGTTCACAAGAGCCTTCCAGTGGTCCATATCCTGAGGCAGATCAATCCAATCCATCCCATCTCCCCCCTCTCTCTATCTAAGATATATTATAATATTGTCCACCCACCTACACCTTGGTCTTCCCTGTGGTCTCTTTCCTTCTGGCTTTCCCACCAATATCCTATACGCATTCCTCGTCTCCCCCTTTCATGCTACTTGCCTGCCCACCTCATCCTCCTTCACTTGATCATTCTAATTATACTTGGAGAAGAGTACAAGTTATGAAGCTCTTCATTATGCAGTTTCCTGCAACCTCCTGTCACTTCATCTCTCTTCAGTGCAAATATTCACTTCAACACTCTGTTCTCAAACACCCTCAGTCTATGTTCCTCCCTTAATGTTAGAGACCAAGTTTCACACCCATACAGAACCACAGGCAAAATTATAGTTTTGTATATTCTAATTTTTATGTTCTTGGACAACACACGAGAAGATAAAAGGTTCTTAACTGAATGGTAGCAAGCATTACCCAAGTTCAATTGCCTCTTAATTTCCTCCTGAATCAGGTTTCGATCTGTTATCGTTGTTCCCAAATATCTGAACTGTGCCACATTTTCAAAACATCTGTTTCCTATCTTTATGTCATGATTTTGCGCTGCATTTTGGTGACGAGACAGTAACATATCCTTAGTTTTCTCTGTGTTTACTTCTAGACCAACCTCTTTACTTGCGTCAATTAAAGTTTGTGTTTTTTTCTTTATAGTATCTATATCATCACCCAGTAGATTCACATCATCAGCATAGACGAACAGTTGACATGTCCCATTTAATTTCAGTCTCACCTGGTTTGCCTGGACCTTCCTAATGGCATATTCTAAAGCAAAGTTGAAAAAGGAGTGGCGATAAAGCATCTCCTTGTTTTAGACCATTCTGGATAGGAAATTTATCAGACAAATGTTTACCAACACGGACTTCACTATACATTCCGTTTAAACACATTGTAATCAACCTAACTAGTTTCACTGGTATCCCAAACTCTATCAGAATATTGTACAATACTTCCCTCCTAACTGAATCGTAGGCTATGAATAGCTGATGTACTGTCTCATCGTACTCCCATTTTTTCTCCAATATCTGACAATGCAAAAGATCTGATCTGTAGTTGATCTGTTAAGTCGAAACCCACACTGATGATCCCCAATAATTTCGTATATGGACTTAACCTTGAAAGAAGAATATTGGACAAAATTTTATATGAAGTTGATACCAGTGATATCCCCCAATAATTACTACAGTCAGTGTTCCTGCATATTGTGACCAAAGTTCTCAACAAATTAAAATTATGGTTTAATGCTAATTTATTGTTCTTTAACTTTTCTAAAACTGAATTTGTCAAGTTTAGTTAATGATAACATGGAAATACTCAACTCAACCCGTTTAAAGTTCTTATGGGTTAATGTTGCAAATACTCGGAGTTGGAAAACTCATATTGACTCACTTATCCCAAAACTTATCTCTGTGTGCTTTGCAATCCGAGTCATACCACAGTTTGAGAATCAGGAAACTTTGTTGATGGTTCATTATGCCTATTTTCACTCTATTATTCGATATGGCATTATTTTTTGGGGGTAACACTTTGTACACTATCAATGCCTTTCATCTGCAAAAGATGGCGGTGAGACTAATAACTGGTGCTGGTAATAGAAACTCGTGTAAAACGATATTCACTACTCTAAAAATTCTTACTCTTTTGTCTTTGTATATTTATTCACTACTATCTTTTGTGGTTGATAGCATGGATCAATATTATTTTGTATCTGATATACATAACAGAGACACTAGACAGGTATTCAACCTAAATCTATATCAACCCTCAACTCATTTATCATTATATAAAAAGTCTCATATTGCATGGGCATCAAACTATTCAATTGTCTCCCACTAAATTTGAAGCAATTATATAAAGATATTAAACGGTTTAAATTAAAATTAAAAGAATTCTTGAGTTGTCACCCATTTTATACGGTGGATGAATTTTTTGTATATACTAGTCGGTACGATTAATTGTATTCTGGTTCTATTCGTATGTCTTGAATTACTTCTTTGTACTGCTTATTTATTTAATATGATTTTTCCACATCCTAAAGTATTTGGATTTTATGGAAATAATAGATGAGCAATGAAAATGAAAAAAGTGCTTGTACTGACACCTGAAACCTTTGAGAGTTCTATGTCTTGGTTTTGCGTTATTTTTGTAAACTGGGGGAGTTTTGTTGTATATATGGTCGACGTGTTCTTTTTTATTGTTTTATATTAAGAATGCCTTGACTTGTTCCTGTGGGAATAGAAGTTTTGTTTTTTGATCTGTGACTCATTCTATATCCAATAGTTGTTTCCCTGCCTGTATCTGGATCTATTTTGAATTTGATATAAATGAAATGAAATATCCAATGGGTACCAGGGGCTCTTACCCTGGGGATAAAGTGGTCAAGGCATGAAGCTAACCACTCACCTCCGACTAGTGTCAAGGTCAAGAAAATGTGGATCTATACATCCACTCCCCCATACACCTTCATTGCATAGTGCTTAATTAGTCAAGCACAGGGAGAGCTTTGCCTTTTTACTAATAAGTGATGCATGAATGAGATGAGATCAGGAAATAATGACCTTTTTAATATTTTTAAGAACCTGTAAAGAAATTATTATCCTGATTAAGGTTTTATGTAGTCTCTGTGGGAACCTGCTGAGACAGTATTTCAAATTAGGCTACGACCAGTGCCTTCCACACATTTTCAACTTTGTCTTCATTATCATACAATCATTCAATTACTGAGCTATTAATAATGTCAATAACAATCACCCACTGAAAGAAAGACAATGCTGAATGAAATGTAGAAAAGACAACGAGAAAGAGGAATTACAGTGACCCATTTGTGCAGAGGATGAGAAAAGAGAATGACTGAGAACAATTACAAGCATAATTAGGAAATTCTGGCAGACATTACAGACATTTTGTTTATGAGAAAATTTATATCTTTCAAACTTTATTGTCCCTATTGTAGCTACAAATATTACACTGCACTGAGAAGAAGCTGCTGTGAAACACTGCATAAAAATAAAAGAAAATGCAACCCTTAATATAAATTTTACAAACTGACCATACAATTTTTTCTACAGGTGCAGAATATTCAGAACAAGATTAATTCCAGTTACCAATTCACATAAGAGTAGGGTATCCATTACCAGAGGCAAAAGAGGATTTTACATATCACCTACTGTAACAGCCACTTATACGATTCTTTTCACATCAAAGAGAAGATTGTATGGG